CCAAAAAAAAAAAAAAAAAAAAACCAAAAGAACCAATAATGTACCATCTTCAACTATAGAACAGAGACTTTAATTATAGTATAAACACTAAGATAAACCAACTTTTGACATACAGGAATAAGAGGAACTTAAAAAGATTGGATAAACTTAGCATAAAAGAACAAGAAAGGAAGAAAAGAAATCCTTATTCTCTTAATCAATGCTATGTTTTTCAGCCTTTTTAATTCTCGGTGTAAATTTTCTTGTGTGACAGTATCTCACCAAAAAAAATTTATATGGGTAAGAAAACTAAAATGTCAAACATAATAATGACATTTCCTGTAATAGTATATTGCCACTGTTTTCATTGCAGCAAAAATAAGGATGTGTAGCACTTTTTAACATCGTGCTAGGATTTTGATTCAGTTGGTTCAAGCTTGGTGGTTTTTCTTTTGTAGTTGTTGGCTATTTCTCCTTTGTCTTTCTGCATATCTAAATTATTCCCTTTCTCTAAGACCTTTCTGTGGGCCTTTACTGAGGTTATACCACTATCCCTTTTCTTAGAGATAACAACCTTAGGCACGTAATTTCCAAATTTTGAGATATGACTGTAGCTAGCTGGATATTAATAAATCCCCTTTATAAGGCACTGAGAATAGTGCCTTTGTCTTGCTTGCGGATGTGGTTAAGAGACGGGAATAATGGGCTCACTAGTCCATATTACCTAAAGATAAAACACAAGAACAGATTAGAATGAGCCTGTTGGTAATGTATTAGCAAACTTAGAAGACTTTGTTTTGGGGACTTTTCTCAGTTAGTAGACTTAAAGGTGGAGAGAAAATAAAAAGTCATGGCTAACTATTAAATACAAATACTTAGTTGTATGCACTAATTGCTATTAATAATAGTAAAAACCAGAATGATTCATTTGAAACTTGACTGATGCAACTACATTCAATGACTTAGCAATTACCCAGGCTTTTTTTTGTTAATTCAACCTGATCTTGCCTCCAACTATCAAGGTGCAAGCCAGCATTGGAGAATGAAAAATGTCAGCAGTGGGGGCAGCATGGCAGAGAAGGGACACAGCAGCCAGGAGTGGGCAGGAGAAAAGATGGAGAAGGAAGGGAATCAAATGAAGAGGTAGGAATGGAAGCATATAAAGAAATAGAAGGGGAGAAGAGAATGCAGGTGGAAGTCATTGAAATAATGACAAGTGTCATAACTTTAGTGTTTGAATATGCTTAATTAGAACTGCAGGAGAACCTACAAACACTTATGTTTAACTGTGGAAGGAAGGTGAGCAAGATAGAAAATTTTTTATTTTTAATAAATTTTATTTTATCTCATTTCCCCCCTCAAGCCCCTTCCCCTTCCCTCCCTATTAGAAATTTGGGGGGAGGGGTGGTACTGGGAATCGAACTCAGGTCCTTGCACTTGCAAGGCAGGCAGGCAGCAGAACCACTGAGCTAATTCCCCGACCCCCTATTAGAAATTTTAAAATAAACTTTAAATAATTTTTTAAATTTGAGATCAGTAATAATACATGATTGTTTCTTGCCATAGAAGTAATATTTGAATCATTCCTATGGCACATTTTTCTAAATGCTCTGCATATATAGTGTTGATTCATTAATTCTTACCACAACTTTAGAAGCAAGTATTATTTCTCACATTTTTACATGTGCAGAAACTGAGCCACAAAGAAAATAAGTAGTTTGCCTCAGCTAGTCAAGTAACAGTCAAGAGCCAAGGGTTTCGCTGAGACAGTCTGACTACTCTGTCAGACCACTGGCTGCATCACCTCTCCCAAACCCTATCCCTGATTAATATGTGTATTTCTGTAGAAATTTGTCTTGTTTTGAAATACAGCATTCCTTTGTAGTAGTACACCAGTCTGTATACTGTTTAAAACTTAACTTCCTGTTACTTGCTTTAGTTATAGTAATTTGAGGGTTTATCAAAACTAGCTACGAGAACCCTAAAACAGTACATGGCTCCCAGTGAAGTGAATCTCACTATATAATTGTTTAGTCAAACAAGCCAAAATGTTTATCCTACTCTTTTAATAATATCAGTGTGAACTCTGGCTTTTAACCATATTTATGCATACCAATAAATGTTTGTTGTCTTCAAAAGTTTGCTCATCCTTAAAGATCACAGACAAACTAGTATTACATGTATTTTTATTACCCAAACCTTTTGGAATTCTAAGCCTCACAACAAGGTCTACCTTACATATAAGAAGCACTAGTGAGTGTGTTGTTTAATCACTTTTCCTAGTCATCCTTTAAATTAAAACTTCACATGGAGATTTCACCAAGTATCTAAAAAGGTGTTTTGTTTTGTTTTCTTTTGACAGCTCGGGTGGAGTAAAATGTTTACAGATTGTAGAGGAGGAAATGTGAATGGAGTTAGTGGATTTTACCAGGAACATCAGAAGAATGTTAGGTATTAGTGTTGTGCTGGAGGAAGATAAAAATTGAGGGAACAAAAAGACTTCTGTGAGTAGGGTAAATAAACCGGGAATCCATATTGAAGATGGTTGCTTGGCTCACTGGATACTTAAATGTTTTGAATTATTTATATAACTTTAGAATCATTAGTACTCATTTATTTCCTTTGACTCTATTTTAGAAGAAAAGCTGAGCAGTTTTAAATTTTTGTTGATACTGAGACAGGTACCACTGGTTCAAAAAGTATAAAGAGGATAGAGCTATGATTAGGAACCCTGTAAAAGTTTACCAAGAAAAGTTCATTGGAGACTTTTGTAAGTGCCTTAGTGGTAAAGAAGTCAAGTCTGGCCGGGGATTTAGCTCAGTGGTTCTGGCGCCTGCCTCACAAGCACAAGGACCTGAGTTCGATCCCCAGTACAAAAAAAAGAAGAAAAGTTCTGGATCATCTTGTACTTAGGAAGGCAATATAAGTAGTGCTTCACTCTTTGATAGTTTTAGCTACTTGAAGGTTGGATTGGTTGTTCCCTTAGGCATGAACAACATATTACATGAGAGATTGTAGGACACTAAATGTGCTCATTTTATTGAGTGTTTCTTGAATTTCTTATGTGGGTATTTACTCTTTGATTTCGATTGTAGCATTTGGAATACAGTACTTTGATTTTTATATTGGTGCTTTTATATGCTATCCACATCTAATACATTAAGCAAACAGTGAGCAACAGCCACACAATGCTAGATAATGGGAACACAAATGAATAACGCAGTCTGTTATTCCAGACTAAAAATTACTTGAGCATTCTCCATCTTCCCTATCTTTTCAGTGTTTTAATTTTTTTAAAGGAGAAATAAGCTGAAAGTCTATGTTGAAATTAAACAGCTCATGCTGGGGGCTTAGTCCAGTGGCACCGTGCCTGCCTTGCAAGCCCAAGGTCCTGAGTTTGATCCCCATTGCAAAAAAAAAAAAGTTAAACAGCTCATTTAAGATGACATTTCTGGTTGTTGAGAGTAGTATTAGCTCTCTGTCGCTCTTAGGAAAAATTAGTGGTAATTAACTTATAAAACAAAAAAGGTTTATTTTGGCTCATGGCTCTTGAGTATTCTATATCTCTTGGGAATCTGATAAAGGCAGTATATCATGGCAGAGCACACTGTTCATCTCATGACCAGAGAGCATAGACAGAGGGAAAAAAATGGAATTCCACAATGTCTTTGGGAGGGGTGCCCCAGTAACCTAAGAACCTCCCACTAAGCTCCTACCTCCTAAGATCCATAGTACCTAGTATGCCACCCTTGGGACCAAATCTTTTATCACATTGTCTTTGGGGATATATAGCAGATCCATACTATAGCAGGGGCCAAATACATCTTATTTTAGATTTGTTTGTTTGTTTGTTTAATGCCACAAAAAGAAAACTCCTTGAAATCATTTTTATTCCATTTGGTCATTTGCAAATGCACTTATAGAAAGTCTTCAAAATCTTGTGATTAAATTTTGTGTATGTTTTAAAAGCTCTCAGAGAAAAGGATCCACCTTCCCTTATCAGAAATTTTCTTTTTATGTTAATTACCCAAATCATATGATAGCAAGATTTATGCCTTCCTCCACTTCCTCTTTGATATTATTTCAGCATAGTGATTCATGAGCTGCAAGATACAGTGAGACTCATATATTCATCTCTTGAAAAATAGGTGCCTGAGTATTAACATTTAGAAATTACCTTTCCATAAGAAATTTGTGTGTAATCTTAAGACATTTGAGTTTAAGGGATATCTGCTTTGAGTTAGCAGTTACTTGGTTTGTTACTAACTTCTGGGGTAAATATTTATTTAAAATTCATGTTTCTCTCTGTCACTGACTTTGTAGTGCTGTTTTCTTCATGTAATTCTATCTTAAGAACCTAACTTACTCTAAAAGCTTTAAATGAAAAAAAGAAACTTTCTGGATATTCATTTAACAAAATTCCTACTCGTGATTTATATTATATGAGTATGCACTGAATTCAAATCTTATTTTGTTGTATGGATTCTTTTTTTTCTCTCCTTAAACAAGATTGTGTGGCTCTTAGTGATGGAATGAAATACTGCTTTACTTATATGAGCATTAGAAAGTGGTGACTGTCTAGGATTATAATAAATATACTTTATCCCCTTTTCATCTTTTTTTTCAACTATACCATCATTCCACTTGAGTTTTTTTCTATACTTACTATAATATGCAAAATAATATTACTTAAACTTTAACTTAGCTAAGATAAATCTTTTTTTCTCTTTTGCTGTTCTACTTGCAAAACAATTAAAACATTTTATACACTGGGATAACTAATTCTTTTTAATAACTTCATTAAAACTCGTACATTGGAACTAGATGTAGCATGGTGGTAGAACCCATGCAGCCCCCCAAAAAAGGAAAAGATAGCTCATACATCAGTTTTGTCATGGCCCAAGTTTATAAAACATGCTGTTAATGATACATCCCTTCCTTATAAGCCTCCCCTATTAGAAAGTAGAGGGTTTTCCCCAAATGCATTTACTTTTTAAATCAAATTTTTCTATTTTCTGCAGATAATATCACCTACTGCATTATTTTTGGCTGCAAAAGTAGAAGAACAGGCTCGAAAACTTGAACATGTTATCAAAGTAGCACATGCTTGCCTTCATCCCCTAGAGCCACTGCTGGATACAAAATGTGATGTATGTAAAAATTGGGTTTTGAGGTTTTCTTTGTAAATTTGAAACTTGCTGCTTGTTTTGTTTTGTTTTGTTTTTTTGTACCAGGGTTCGATCTCGGGTCCTTGCGCTTGCAAGGCAAGCGATGGAACCACTGAGCCAAATCCCCAGCATTGCTGCTCATTTTTATTAACATTTAAAAATAATTGCAGGAAGCCATCTGGCAGAAACAGTTTGTGAATTTGAATGTTATTCTGAGTCATATAAGGCTTAGATTCAAAGTTACTTTTAATTGTTTGACATTTTGTTGTTTACCCTGACAGCAAACCAGTGATAAATGTAGAGTAAAACATGATAGGTATGGGCCTGTGATTTAGCTCAGTGATACTATGCTGCCTTGCAAACTCAAGGTCCTGAGTTCAATCCCAGGTACCAGAAAAAAATACATGATAGCTGTATAGTACTTAAGACCAGAAGTTAAATAATTCTTAAATTGTTAGCAGGTAAAGGAATAGAAAAACACTGATTTACCTCTAGACTAGTAATTAGTCTTTTAAAAGAATTGTTCTGTTAAAATAGAAGCACATTTTTAAAATAATTTTGCTAGCATACTTATTGTAAGTAAATTATTTAGTTAGGGACCTTTACCCATAGAGTGACTAAAGATGTTAATTCAGTTTGAGTTAGATCATTTAATGTCCAGATTAATTTGAGCTCTGGTAGAAATGTATCTGATTTTTTAATGACAAGCTTTGTCATAGATGTTGGCTTTAAGAAAGTAAGACAGTGTTGTAACTATTACATAATAAAGAATTTGTGATTATTCAAAGATCTATTTTCTCTTGGCATTAGTGACTCAAAATTATTTCTAATGAATATTTGGAGGTATTGCTCAGATACTAAAAATGCATGTTTTAAAAGTCACCTTTCAGAATGGAGCATAAAATTACAAGTACATTTCAGTATCTGAGTTTGCCTGTGAGTGCTTACAAACATGATTATTTACATGTAATACATTATTTCCTTCTACCTAGGTCAGTTGTCATGACCTGAGTATAGGAAGGAAGGCAGAAATTTTTATTCTAAGTATTTCAATAGAATAATTTCTTGAAATTTAGGGAGAAAGTTCTGTGACATTTGTGTCTCTGGATATATGATACATTATTCTAATGTTTTATATCAGAATTTTTTAAATCTAGAAATTTGAGGTTTTGTTTTGATTTTGTCTTTCCTTAGCTGAGTGGAAGTTAATTCTGAAAATTCTCACTTACTTTGATGTTCAAGGAATTACCACATAAAGTGTCATAGTGTGAATTTAAGCCTTTTTTTTAGAGGCAAGCTTGAGTTTGATGTTTTTGTTTGCCTTAGTGCTTCTCTTTAATGTGTATTGATGCACTAATGCCTAGGTAACATTCTTACAGTGATGTGGTAAACCTTTCAGAGCTTTCAGTGGTAACAAACAGCCTGCTGCAGCACACTGTGCTGTAGGTTCCCCACTACTGAACAAACTGTGTAGATCTCCTTTTCAATTAACCTACCTCTTACATGTTACTATTGTCTCTAGTGGGGGGTGTGGTGGTTGTCTTTTTGCCTTTGCTTTGTTTACATCTCTTGTAGTAGAAAGTGGTTCACTTTAGACTTGTCACCGCAGGTGGGTGTTCTCTTATCTCCCTCAATTTATTTTCCCCTTATTTGCAAGCTACTGTGTTTCTTTTATAATCTGTCTATAATTCCCAGATCTAAGTCAGTTACCCTAGTTGTGTTATACTTTACTTAAGCACTTTATTATTTTCATCTGGCAGGCTTACCTTCAGCAGACTCAAGAACTGGTTTTACTTGAAACCATAATGCTACAAACACTAGGTATGTACTCATGTCAGTTATTTTGTGTTCTTCAGTGCGATATTTGAATATGTAAGATTCTAGAATAATTTTATTTTTGAAGAAAGTTGTGTTCAGGCAGATTTGGGGGCTAGAATAGTTTTGTGCAGTTATAAGGAAACCCTTTTTATAAACTTTAATTTCATTTGGAATAATTCACTTAAATGGTAAACAGTCTCAATATGATTTCTTTGGTTTTTGGACTGTTGAAGCACTGTGCTATATTTGCACTAGAGAGCACTTTATAGCAGTCCTCGTTCTCAGAGCTAATAGTAATTATTTAAGTGATCATCATGTTCTAAAAGTTTTCTTTGTATGCAAGATTTAATCTTTCACTTTGCTACTGAGGAAATTGAGATCTAAGATGGTTATGACTTGTTAAAGTCAATGTTCTACTTATGAAAGACTATAGTAGGGTGTGGTAGGATAAATACATGCTTTCAGAGTGTTCTAATTTTAAATCAGGGATTTTTTTTTTAATATACCCAGTATGAAACTTGTGACTTTATGCTTGTGAGGCAGGTGGCAGCACCGCTGAGTTGAATCCCCAGCTCTAATTTTAAATCTATAGGCCCTTGACTTGCTCTCTAAACTTGAGCAACATTTCTTGTTATACCTGCATTCTGTAGATGTGGAATAATAGTATTTGCTCTATATCACAAAGATAAGCTCTTATTATAAAAGCAGCTTGTTTGAAATGTACATAATAAACACAAAAGTAAGACTTATTTGGCATGTTGTCATTTTATACAAAATATAAATATATGGGCTGGGGATTTAGCTCAGTGGTTCTGCTGGCTGCCTCGCAAGCTCAAGGACCCAAGTTCGATCCCTGATATCCAAATATACATACATACATACACACACACACACACACACACACACACACACACACACACACATCATTATCATAAAATACTATATAGTATATTTTGGTGTTTTGTTTTGTTTCATTTTATTTTGTTTTTGAGACAAGGTCTTGCTACATTGCCTGGGCCAGGCTTGAACTTGTGATCCTCCTGCCTCAGCATCCCAGGGTGCCAGGATTATAGGCATGTACCACCATCCCCGGCTTATAAAGTTGTTTTTATTGTATGAGACATTATGTAGAGTCTGAAGGTATAGCTTCATTGTAGAGTGCCCACATAGCATGTGCAAGACCCTAGGTTAGATTTTCAGTACCATTAAGATGATGTTATTTTGTAGCCGGGCAAGATGGGGCCTGCCTGTAATTCAGGGTACTTGAGAAGCTGAGGGTGGAAAATCACAAGTTTGAGGTCAGCCTGGGTAACTTAGTCCCTTTCTCAAAAAGAGGTAGGGTGGAGATATAGCTCAGTGATCCCTGGATTTAATACTCAGAGCAGGGAAGGAGTCCTTGTGTAATATGTATTGTTTATAACACATTCTGAAACATGGAGAATGAAAACATTAAAGTATTTCACATGTATAATTAATTGCAGAGGAAATAAAAAGTTTACAACTATAAACACAGATTATGAATTTACTTTTATTCACTTACTGCTTCTAAAGGCACTAAATGTTACAACCCATTGTAATAAAAGCAAAAATCCTGACATAACTAAGGATTGATTGAACATTAAAAGCTTTTCACCATTTTATCTTTGGTTTTAGAAACATTGATTTAGAGAATTGTGAGACCTCCATAATTCACTTGCTGCTAAGAGAACTATTATTTAAAAGTAACTTCTACCACAGCTGTTTATAAAAATCTTTTTTTCACATCTTCTGAAACAAAAATTTGAAGTATTAGGAAAGATAATACTTAGTTGAATTTCCCGCATAAACGATTGGACCAGTTTAATATGTAATTGCTATTTGCTGTGATTTTAATTTGTTTTTAACTTGAGGATAATTCCAAATTATTTATTCGGAATTTTTAATAAAATTGCCCTTGTCTTTAAGTAACTTTTCCTAGTTGATACATTGTAGTTCTCCTTTTTAGAGGTATAATGAGCAATGTTAATCTCCAAAAGTGATGGAGAAGCTTTAATTTTGTCTTTGGATTTATCTTAATAATAAAGAATATGTTGTAGATTTATGGTTGTGTGATAAATGGTATTTCTCTGGCAAGTATCCTAGTGGTAAGTGGTTGGGGGAAAATGCTTATCATTTCAGGTTTTGAGATCACCATTGAACACCCACACACAGATGTGGTGAAGTGCACACAGTTAGTAAGAGGTAAGTCATCTTGGAAAGTTTTAGAATAAATATTAATGCTTTTATCACTTATAAATGGTTTGGATGCTATTTTGCTTTAGTGTTTTGGGGGGTTTTATTAAAATGAGGTAAATGTTACTTTGAAGCACTAATTTTTAGTGTTCTGCATCTTTTGTTTCTAAAGAAGCATTAGTTTCTTTTAAACTTAGATGAGAATCTCAATTCACTGAAAAATTGAAGGACTTCCAAGTAATAGGAATCCTCCCTCATTGGACTACCCCATTCCCGTTCCAGTTAATATTTAGAATGTAAGCCATTAGTACACTGGTGTAACTAGTAATGTTAATTTCTGATTTATAACAGACTTTGATTGGCTTCTTGAAAAATGATAACAGTTTAAGAATTTATCTTTCAGATAAAAGTTGCCTTTATTAGTAGATTTGTCATCTTTGGAAATGGTTTTTCCATATTCATTTAATCCAAATTGATTTACTACATTTTTAAAAGTTCTTTAGCAGTTCTAAAAATGGTTTCCTTTTCATGTAAATGTAAAAATGACTATAAATTGTAATACATTTTGTGATAAATAGGAATATGAAGTTTTTGTATGTTTGCTTTACTGCATGTAAAGCTTGTGAAATCTCTTTCCACTCGATGAATTCTGCATATCTGTTGTCCTAGAAATACTTTTTACACAGCTGCATGTTTGCTTCTTCTACTTTCCTGTTACCCATTTGAAGTGTTATGTACTCACGGCAACCTCTTGTGGACCTTTAGTGTACCTTTTTCTTTTCCTTTTTGAATAAAATTTTGCAGTTTCATTGTTTTTCCCCCAGCCTTTTAGGTTTATTCTAAGCAAAATGGGTAAGACTTTTGAAGCCCTTGTTTTTAGTGTTTTATCTAAATATTCTCACATTTTATTCATCCTAAATTGAATTCATTTTATACCTAAATAGCATTTTTTTGTTATCATTGTATTTTTTTAAAAGCCTGTAGTTGGTAACCACAATTTTCTTGTTAGAAAATAGATTTCTAAAGA